CTTCTCTCTTTTATCCCCCCCTTCTCTCTTCCCCCTTCTCCCCTCCTCTCTTTCCCTCCCCCCTCAATCTCTATTCTTTTATTTTATATAAAAAAAGAAATCAGATTTACCAATTAAAAATGACTCATCTTCTTTTTTTTATTATTTCTTTTTCTTAATTTTTTTTTTGATTAATGTATTGTTTTTAATCAATTAATTACTATGACTATAATGATTACAACACGTGAACATTGATCAAAGTTAACCGGGTTTTTTTTGTTTTTTTGTTTTTGATTTTTCTCAAAGTGATAAAACAATGAAAATGGATAATATAAGATATTATATAATTATTATTAAAGTATCCTTCTTCTTTTAATATAGTAATGATCATAATAATAATGTTTTGTTTTTAAAAAAAAGTAGAGTAATTTTCATTGACCTTGATAATTTTGTTTGAATTAACTTTTAAGTTTATCATTGTAGAAATTGAAACACTTAGTAACGGTAATGGAGAATTAATGACATTGATCATGATATTATGTTTTTTTTAATATTAATATAATATTAATATTTTCATAGTTGAAATCATTAGTCAATTGAAGTTAGACCATCATGAAAAACTTGGAAGCACTGGATGGCCGTTTTGTCCTATTATGGGACTCTTCAGCAGTGCGCATCCACGATCCTGCACCCGCGAGATTCGAACCCAGGACCCAACAGTCTCACGCCAGAGCACTTAACCGATAGACCACTGAGCTGGCATCCAACAGTGTTAATGTCTAACTTCAACCAATCCACGATGTGTTTTTTTGTGCGTCCGTTCATCAATTGTCTTCAGAGAGTTGATATCTCTACAACAGACTTGGTTGAACTCCCTTGGTCACTGCTTCCCAGTATTTTTATTGACTCATGTCTTCAACTATGAAAATACTGAAATGTCCACAAAACCCCTTCTGATCTAATATTAATATGTATAAATTTAAATGATACATTTATTAAATAAATACGAATATTTATAATGTCCTATATCCCCCCGAATCATTGATATTATAGATTAGATCTGATTGATTTTTATTGATTAACAAACTCAATTAGAAGATACTTTGATATTATATAAGGTTATACTTAATTACTTATGCCTGTTACTCCTCATAGAGGAGAATAGACTGTCCACTAGCATTCTTCATTCAACTATGTCCTGGGGAATTCTTTCCAGTTATTTCCAATTGCTATTTATCCTTTTCATGTTTGCTTCCAATTTAGCCTTCCACTTTTCTACTTCCCTTCAGAATTCCAAGTTAGCGCTCACTCCATGATGTAGTTTAATGATTTCCGTAATGTATGTTCTAACCACTTCCAACGTCTTTTCCTAATTTCCTCTTCAGATGGAATCTGGTTTGCGCTCTCTCACAGAAGGCTGTTACTGGTGGTTTCCGATCAACGCACATTGAGTGTCTTGAGTAGACAACTGTTTATAAATACTTGTACCTTCTTGACGATTGTTATAGTAGTTCACCACGTTTCAGCTTCATATATTAGAACTGTCTTGACGTTCGTATTGAGGATTCTCACTTTGAAATGAGTTGACAGTTGTTTCGAGTTCCATATGTTCTTCAATTGTAGGAATGCGGTCCTTGCTTTGCCAATCCTCGCCTTTACATCTGCATCAGATCCTCCTTGTGTATTGGTGATGTTTCTCAGGTACGTGGATGTTTCCACATCTTCCAAAGTTTCTCCATCAAGTGTGATTGGGTTGATGTTCTCCGTGTTGTATTTGAGGATGTTGCTTTTTGTGTTGTGTATGTTGAGGTCTTCTGCTGCAGGGGCTGCCGCTACACTAGTTGTCTTCATCTGCATTTGTTGGTGTGTATGGGATATAGGAGCTAGATCATCTGAGAAGTTCAAATCATCTAGTTGTATCCAACCTGTCTATTTGATATATTTTTGATTTGCAAGTCTTCAATCAAATTTATAACAATTTTCTTATCCTATGTGGAATAGGACAGTTAGATGTGCCTGGATTTTTGAATAATTGCTTTGATATTGTCTGCAGTTAGGATAATGATTATAATTTTTAAAAAAATTATGTTTGCCTCAAAGATATTCATTCAGAAATTTTTACTTCCTTACATAGTTTATTCTTATAACCAATAACTAATAAATACATCAATCGACTGAATACTGTAGTTGCTGTGCAAACTTGTACTTTACAATGATACTTACAGTCTAATGAAACTGTTTCAATAAACCTTTAAACTCGATTTGGTTTACTAGACTATCATGTAATGATATTCACTGAGTTAGTTCCTTCTTGATAGCTATTTCACCAAAACATACTACATTAGGGTGAAAACGAATTTCAAAAAAGGAGTTACTGTTTTTAATGTTACATCAAATGTAGTACAGATTTACATAAGGCCTTCTGTAAAACAAACAGAACCTATTTTTTCAAAGTTAATGATTTACTTTCTTACAATTAGTGTAGCTTTATTGTTTAGATGTTCCATTAGAGAAGACAATCAGGTTTTCAAATCAAGCATAACTTACCATATTTTCAACGTTTCAGTAGGGACGTTAACTTTTACTATAAATAGTTAGACCTATTTTAAAGATATTTACTGTTCTGTCTTTACGCTCGATTAATTACATCACGTTATACGACCGCCAATTAAAGACACGGCTTTGTACCACCAAACTAATGACGCATGAAAGTGTACGAGCAGCTTAGTGTTCTTATTGATTTTCCGAAATAGTAGCTTTTCTACTAACCCAGACGGTTCAGTTCAGAACGCCAAAATCAGCCTTCGCGATACGAATCATATATTTCAGATACACTGGGTTTATATGCAAGCAAACCAGACCACATCATACCATAAAGTGAAAAATAACAAATATACAAGATCAAACCCAAAAGTGTCTGTGATTATGAGAGATTGATATCGATAAAGTGAGAATAACTTAGGAATAGTGAATCGTATAATGATGGTCAATAGGTTAAATAAAAGCTTATAATGAGAGGAATATATATATATATATATATATATATATATATATATATAATAAAAATCCACAAATAGATCCTATAGTCTACTATTCACTTATTCTTCTTCCGGACATAACATTTATACAGTTATTCAATTTTATTTTTCCACCTTGTTTTATTCCCAAAATGATCAACATTTGATTACTAGGACATGAGTTATATAAACTAATCAGAATCTGACTTTGATGTTGTAGGGATGGTTCGTTGGCAAACTCAAGGAAGCCTCAATAAGCCCAGAAAGAACCGAAGACATTCCATCCAATCACCACTACGGGGGGACATTCTAGAATATCGATGTCTAGCTTCCCTATTGGATGAATAAGAAGGACCCCCTATGTGCCTATTGGTTGCCCGAAATGATGATTTACTTTCAGTCAAAAAACTATAATTACATGAGATTTGTATACTATATTTGACATTTTGGGAAATAAAATTCCTACTTACTAATCTTCTGTCTTCTTTCTTGCGACGTTGCGGGTTCCATCGTTCAAGTAGTCTAGTAGTACGTGGCATAGTAAAAATCAAAGCTCTGAATATAACAGGTGTATAATTCGCTAAACATAACAGTGTATTAAAAAATATGTTAAACACTATCAGTCCATGTTATTAGATTTCGACTTATGACTGTTAACTCTCTAGGAGCATAAACCGCCGAACAGTAGTCTCGAATCAACTCTACCCTAAGCTCTCGTTTCAAGTTGTTGAGGCCAGATTTTTAACAACTATCTTTAAAATCCTTGACGTTAAACCATTTTAATAAGTACGAATTTCCTGACTCAAGTTAGTTAAATGATTGTAACTTTTCTTCTATTTATTTTAGTTGGATGATATCAGAACAAAATAGATCTAATTAACACAATTACATTTAATATTTGCCTTCATTTATATCTAAAATGATAATATAACTTAATAGATTTTATTTCACAAACTAATTCCTTTCTTATTTATATATGGTTGAAAATCATTAGTCAATTGAAGCTAGACCACCATGGAAAACTTGGAAGCATTGGACGGCCGTTTCGTCCTATTGTGGGGCTCCTCAGCAATGAAACAGATTTTTCACGTTTAGTTCTTATTAGTACTCATTTGATCTTTATCTACTCTGTTTCATTACATTTGTATGAATCGTGAAAAGTTTATATGATGCATATTTGTACCGGGCTTCCATATTGTTTACAACTGACCAAACGATCATTGATACTATTAATGCTATTACACTGAGCTATTACTTAGCAACTTCTACCTAAAATTTGTGCTAATGATGTCGCTCAGAAGAACGATGAAAGCTCCATGATTATACTATCTAGTCCAGAGAACAGAAATCTATCAAAAACTGGAAACTGTGCTAGAAGGAGAAGTTGCATTCTAGATCAATAATAGTTAAAATGATCTCTGCCACACCTCAGGGTTTCTTTACCAGTCACGGTTTTTCATTAGTCAAAACACAAGCGGTTTACACATAAACGAGGGAGGTATACTCGGTCTATTGATTAAGGAGTTTATAAAAAAATCTCAAGGGTCACAATAGTAATTTTATCGTTGAAATCATGAGTCAATTGAAGCTAGACCACCATGGAGTTCTAGTGAGAAGCAGTGACCAGTCAAGTTCAACCAGGTCTGTTGTGAGATAGTAACTCACTGAAGACAATGGTAGATGTGTCACTCAATTTTGTGGATTGGTTGAAATTAGACATTAACACCGCTGATTACCGGCCAGCTCAGAGGTTAAGTGCTCGCACGCGAGACTGATAAGTCCTGTGATGGAATCTCACGAGGCGGGATCATGAATGCACACTGCTGAGGCGTCCCACAATAGGACGAAACGGCTGTCCAGTGCTTCCAGGTTTTCCATGGTGTTCTGGCTTCAAATGACTCACGATTTCACGCACATATGTATAGTTTACAACAGTTGAACTTTGTTAAGTCTCCTGAACACTATAAACTTATAGATCTCACGAATTATTCAAAAGGATTCAAATAGTATTTCAACATTTTAATTCAGATGTAAATCAAATATATCTATAGATTAGATGAAATCATTGTATCAAATTACAAAAAAAAAACACAAGATAAATAAAAATCAATAAGTACACTGTAGATGTTCGATGAATGTTCAATGGATCCATTGGAAACATTGAACATCCAGAAATTGACAAATTAAAATGTGACATCATTGTTGAATACAGTACTTCAAAAAGCAAATAAGATTTATATAAATATACATATATTTAGCTTATTGATAAGTTGATCGTCTTGTGTAAGTCATTCGAATCTGAATAACTGAATGTTGTAGTCAATGAAGAAGAAGATGACGATGATGATTGTCCATCTTCTGTTACTGTTGTAAACCATGAATTAATTCTATTCACTGGACTAGTTGATGTTTGATTTATTATTGGAAAACATGATCCAATCAAATTCGATGTATCCATTAATGGATTTATTGATTTAGATATAAAATTTGTATTTAAATTATTTTGATCAATATTAGATGATGATGATGATGATGAAGGGGTTAAAGTTGAATTAGCTGAGTTTGTAAGTAGTGAGTTAGTATTATTATTATGATTATTATTATCCTCTATGTCAGGAAGTATTCTCATCCCATGAAAAAGAGATAGATTATTATGAGTAGTATCTCGAATCAGATGAGTAGTAGGATTGAACATATTTGATGTATTCAAATCATCATTACTATTGTTATTATTAATAATAGTAGTGTTATTAGTATTATTGTTTTGATTATTACTAACACTACTACTAATACTACTTAATTCTATATTGTTTAGAATCCCAGTTGAGATGTATTCATTCTCATTAGGAAAATTTTGTTTGGGACTTTTTCCAAAAAAATTTTTATTTGTTATTTGATTAAATGTAGATAAATGGGTTAATGATTTATGTTGATCAACGTGTAAACCATTCTGATGTAACTCATTTTCCTGGTGTTGTTGTCCATGTTGAGAATGAGGATGATGGTGATGATGTTGATGCTGCTGGTATTGTTGTTGTTGTTGGAGTAAATGTGACTGATGAAGACGTGATGTATCAAAATCATCTAGTGAATGAAATTTACTTGTAATTAACGAATCTGTATTCGTTGTAATCATATTAGTTCTGTCATCATCCGTTAAATAGTTGTTTAAAGATGACATATTATTATAACTGTTATTAAGTGGTGATATTAAACAACATGCCGCTGCAGCTGCGGCCATACGTGCAGAATGTAATACATCTTGAGTATAGGAACCATTAGAAAATGAATAAGTAGGATTATTAGATTTATTCTGTGCAAAATTACCATAGTCAAATGAATCAATAGGATATTCTGTTCTATTCAAACTACTAGTATCATTCATAGTCTCTGAAGTATTAGTATGTAATTGTTGGTGATTCGATCGAAAATCGATAGGATGTGATCCTAATCTCGGAATATAGGATGGTGATGAACATGAATATGTTGTGTTAAAGTAATTAGAAACATTTGTTGTATAAGGAAATAAATCTGTTGATATAGGATTTGTTGAACGTGAAGAAAAACGACCATAGAAATCATTACGATTAATATTGTTATTACTACTATCGCTATTACTACTATTACTACTTATTGATGCATCATTAGTAGTATGATTATTGTTAGTATTATTATTTAAATTAGGATTTTGGGATAGTTGTGTTGACATTAATAAATTAGAATAATGTGTACCAGTAGTTGGTGTTATACTATGATTTAAATTTACTTGTGTTGATGAATTCATGATACCTAATCCATGACATACACTTGGTAATAATAATGATGATAACATTTGTGAACTAGTATTCATTGTATCAGGAGTTGGTGAATTACCACATGTTGGCGGTTGCATTGCTTGAGCTAATCCACTAAAATCAAACTTGTAAGCATAACGTTTACCATTTATCTGAAGTTAAAATTATGAAAATATATACAATTAATTAATAATGAATTAATAATTTTATATAGAAATATATGTGTATCCTGTTTTATAAGTTGGGAAGGTTTAAACAACCAATACAAATAAATTAGAGTTCATCTCATTGCACAAACCAGTGAATATTAGGACATCGTAGCTAAGTGAATAATGCACTAAATATTTGAAGTCAACGGTCCTTGGTTAGAGTCCCAAAGTAACCATTCACACTTCAGAGCCGATACACTCAACTGACTAGTTCAATATGAAACGAAATCTGCACACTGGATTACACTGCTAGCTAGTATTCTGTTATACTTATAATATGTTTCGAAATTATCTTTTATTGTTGAGTTTATTACTCATCAGATCATTCTGTGAAATTTCAACTACTAATTAGAGTAGATTATTATTCTGTAGTTAAGATTGACTGACATTCCAAGTAATAAATGGTAACCTTTATAATGATGATTTAGATTAAAAATATCTTCATTTAATAATTTTGGTTTTGTGTATTGTTTATTGATCAATAGATTATTAAATATAAACTGTCAAATTGTAATATATTAATAAATAAGGCCTTGAATCTTAACCTTATTACTGATTACTGGTAAAATAACATATACTATTCAAGAAACAAGTTTTTGGGCGGGGACTTGGAAAACTACGAAAGCTATCATCCACAAGATACAGTGTTCATTAAAAATTGTCTACGCAAGATACTTCGGATCCCTTGACCAGACTCTATCAGCAACAAGCTAATGTAGGAGACAACAAACCAAATTCCATCCAGTGGAGGAAGAAATCAGGAGGAAGCACTGGAAGTGGATTGGGCACACTTTGAGGAAGCCACCCAACTGCGTCACAAGACAAGCCCTCAAATGGAATCCTGACAGTCAAAGGAGAAGAGGAAGACCAAAGAACACATTACGTCGAGAAGCGGAGACAGACATGAGAAGAATGAACAAAAGTTGGATAGAACGAGAAAGGAAGGCGGAGGACATACTGGGATGGAGAATGCTGATCGGCGGCTTATGCTCCACTGGGAGTAACAGGGACATCGTCGTCATCATCGTCAAGAAACAAGTTTCACATTACGCTTAATCTTTCTACTATTGTGTGTTAAACAAATCACAGATTATATCCAAAATGTAATCATACTTAATACGGAAATAATCTTGGATTATACAGCATGATGTAATGTACTTCCCACATGGTCGATAACCCACTAAAATGCAGAGATTCCCAAATCTTTAATCAGAATAAGTATTTACAAATAATTTTTTAATAGATGACTTATTCAGACTACATCTCATGATAAATATTCAAATCTCAGTATGCACATAACCTAACCAGAATAAACTTTTAGTAACTATTGTACTCTGGAGATTTAACTCCGATTAAAAAAAGTAAACTATCATAGTTTTCCCATAGTATTTGTTAAAAACTAAACTTATACTCAATTTAACACTATTGATTAAGTTTGGAGGAAAATGTTGAAAACACTTAGAGTTCAGCAATTCTATTTGTAGAAATTATGGACTAATCAACCTTAGACCACCATTGAAAACGTATAAGCACTGGACAATCATTTTGCTCTATTATGGTCTATTATGATTTACGTTCCTTGGGAGCGCACACCCACAACCTTGTCAGGTGCGGGGCAGTTACCTATTGTAGGTAATGGAAAATGGTCGCTCACTATCTCTGATGGATTGAAGTCAGGCGTTTACATCGTTAGACGCCACCCTAGTGGTCTAGAGGTTAAGCGTTCGCGCAAGAAATCGAAGGTCCCACGTGCGGGACCTTAAATGTGCACTGCCGAGGAGCCCCACACTAGAACGAAACAGCCGTCCAGTACTTCCAGGTTTACAAGGGTGGTCTTACGTTGATCGGTTCATGATTTCAATGAAACTCGACAATCTACACAAACCTATAATGATATTCTGTTTCTCGCTAAAATGATTGACTAAGGTACTTGTTTAGTTGTCGTTTAATGACGCCGAGTAAGTTTAGACTAATGTTTCTAGAATATCACAACTGTCCTAAAATTCAACGGACTTACGTCTATTAATTTCCTTTGGAAAGCAACGTTATTTAGTTTTTAAATAAAATGGTCAGTTTTATCAACATTATTATAAGGAACTATCAGTAGAAGTATCTCTGGTTTTGAATAATGCTTTTTAAGGTTTCAGATTTTTCTTTTTATGACTTCGAGGATTATAAGTAACCCGCCGCTTAATTGGCATAAGGGCATAATAAATGGAATATTTTGAAATTCTCATTTGGTTACAAATCCTCTTACAGAACCAAATAATAATAATGAAAAATTACAAACTCCTCCCTTAAAGTAAATACAATGAATAAGTTTTTGCCTGACTAGATACAGTAGCTTGGCTGATAATCTGTTAAGGTTTTAAATGACAAGTAGTGCACACCAAATTCAAGTATGAATATGAACACTGGAATCTAGGTACATTCAGCTAACGAGTCCCAATTAGGACGAAATGCGCTGATACTGGATTTCGCTACTAGAAACAATCTGGCTTTACTTGAAAATCTTGGAAAATCGTTTATATACACACAAAGTAATTTTATAGACTTACTTTACTCATAATATTCTTATCATAGTAATAACGTAGTGCACGACTTAATTTATCATAATTCATATTCGGTTTTGATTTACGTTCACCCCATCTTCGTGCTACTTCATCAGGATCGACTAGTTTAAATTCACCATTAGTTCCTTCCCATGTGATACAAGCTAAATTTTTAGAATCCGATAATAGTTCTAGTAAGAATTGCCATAATTGTATTTGTCCAGAGCCTAATATTAGGAAATAAAAATAAAAATCGATATCACCAAAGACTCCTAACAACAGCAATAACGACGAAAATGCAATTACAACCTGGCACTTTCTCATTACTCAAAACCGTAGTAGATAAATTAGATGTTAAGAGTTTTGCTGAAAGGATTTGGTGGAGATTACTTTAATTTTTGGGTTGTGTTCATTATAGGTTGATCTAGGTTTAGATACTAGTGAAAATTAGGCGAGATTATGTATCTGTTCCGTCATAGTATAAGAGTCCTCAACAGTGAGTATCCACTACCTTACAATGAACCGAACTCAAGACTATCAGTTTTTACGGCGAAAGCTTGACCATTAAAACTACTGGGTCAATAGTAAAATTAGGTCATTCAATAGCTAAGATTATTATTGTCCTTGAGATTGGTTAGGAGACGAGACACAGTTAAAGATATTTGTTTTGGACACATAGCTATGGTTACTTAATCCTGATGACTACTGCTTCACTTAACATATAAACTGATTCAAGATAACATTCTATATGAGTCATATCAACATTAACAATTTTATTCTATTATGTTTGACAATCCTAAATGCACATGCTTTAAATGATGTACTTTGCCCTTAACCTGGCCAATTTCTTCGGATTATTAGTTTGGATATATAATTGTAGAATCTAAAGAGAATTTATTGAAAAGAATATTCTTTGTTCAATATATCAGTCTTTTAATATAATGGGGATCTTTAAAAGAATTATAATATCTTTAGAAATTGATTCCTGAAGTCGTGGTGGATCAACAGCAGTCAGTTCTATTCAAGTACTTTCCATATCAAACCTTCACCTCTTTTTCTATTACCAAATCTCAATATTGACAATAAATGATCACCATAGATTAGTACAAAATCAAATTCTAAAAGAAAAGCATATCCAAGTTATCGTAACCGGTGTTTCAAGCTAGTGAGACTAAATTAATTTTTATGAGTATACTTGAAAAATCATTCTTAAACCACCGTATTATTTGCATAATATTGCCATTAAATCCTTCGGAAATACTGATAATGTTAATAATTAATGATATATTTTCTGGGACTTGTTAGTATGATTTAATGGTACCAAATATACGTGAAAAAGTTGACTTTACCCATCTTCTGATTTTCAGTGGTCAACTGAATGATATTACCAGAAGGGGTTTTGTGGATATTAAAGTAATTTTAATAGTTGAGATCATGAATCAATTGAAGCTAAACCACCATGGAAAATCTGAAAGTACTGGACGACCGTTTTGTCCTATTGTGGAACTCCTCAGCAATGTGCATCCACGATCTTGTCTCGCGAGATTCAAACCCAGGACCTATCAGTCTAATTAGTGACTGGCTCCAAGAGATATTTCCTGGAGTTCTAGTGAGAAGCAGTCACCAGTCGAGTTCAACCAGGTCTATTATGAGATAGTAACTCACTGAAGACATTGGTGGATGTGTCGCTCAATTTCGTGGATTGGTTGAAATTAGACATTAACACCGCTGGATGCCTGGCTCACCAGGGTGTTTGGTACCTGAGTGGTTGCGTCACAGGATTGGGCTGTACTGTTCGGATTGTAGCGTTGAAGCCTATATAGTGTCTGGTTCTCCTGTAGGGCGGGATTGAGCTGTACTGTTTGGGTTGCCGCATGAAAGTTTGGATGGTGTCTGGTTTTCCTGAAAACCAGTGCAAGATTACCCTGGACCATAAGGGTATATTTTATAACTATAACCGTTGGATGCCGACCAGCTCAGTGGTTCTAGAGGTCAAGCGCTCGCGTGCGAGACTGAGAGGTCTTGGGTTTGAATCTCGTGAAACGGGATCGTGGATGGGCAATACTGTGGAGTTCCACAATAGGACGAAACGACCGTCCAGTGCCTCCAGGTTTTCCATAGTGGTCTAGATTCAACTGACTCATGATCTCAACTATGAAAATTGTTTTAATATCCACAAAACCCTTTCTCAAAATTATTTGTTGATTAAATGGTATACACATATTTGTAGACTGTAACCTTTTTTAAGCTAGAAACATACCATATCTCCTTTAAATTCCTTATTTGTTTACATATATTTAGAAAGAAAAAAAAGATTAATTCTCATCTAATTTATATTGTTATATCATTGTTTTCATTCAATGTTTAATACATCTCCGATTTTACACCATACAAGTATATAAAGGTGAGAAATGTTCCACAACACAAACCTTACATATCGTTTTAATAATAATAATAATAATAATAATAATAATAATAATAATAATAATAATAATAGTAATATTAATAATAATAGTAATTACAATTCCTAATTTGCTACATTAATTTACATTTGACTAACTATATCTACACAGGAACTAACACTAGTTATCCTATATAACATTGAGAACAAGTGCACTCGTGTGTACATATGTATAAGAGAGTGGATAGATGGATAGATAAGCAGGTACCTACAACTCAAACTAGAATATATATTTATATATATATTCCATACATAAGGATTTCTATGATTGTGATTTCTTTTTTGTTTCTTAAAATACGGGTGTGGACTTCTTAGTAATAAAAATAAACTCTAACTGCTTCAGTTTTGGAGAAAATAAAGCAAGATACCGTCAGCGTGAATAAGTATAAGAGTAAGCAAAGCGAAGTAAGGGAGCAGAGACAGACTTGAATTAGGGATATTAAGCATGACAGAAATTCTCTGACTACACCTATATATATATAGATGTATATGTGTGCATGAAAAACATCCGGGTTATTGACCCTTACCCTTTAAAAGAAAAAAATTCTCTCAAAAGAATTTATCTACACAAAATTTGGTTTTCTGCTGATAGATAGTATGAATAAGTATTACCCGCATTTTTCTCTGCCTAAAGAGAGATTTTTTTTATTTTTTTAAAAAAAATAAAAATTTTAGAATTCCTATGAAAAAAATCTATTCATACTATTCTTGATGTTTTCACTTGTTGTAACGCCCCCCCCAAAAAAAGAAACCAATTTATTAAATGGATACAAATAATAAAAAAAATAATGAAAACGTTTGAAAACGCTTTACTTGATAAACATAATAATCAATTCATTGATTATATTGATTGGGAAAATCGGTCGGTTATATAATTAATTAATTTATTTATTTATTTAAACACATAAATATCGGTACAAAGGGGCACCAGATATATATGCACCACACAAATCTCATTTGATTTGTGTGAGGACTGTGATACTGCCAAGGTGCCAAAAGTGAAGCAGGTGGTTTCCTTAGAGAGCCACACCTCGAGCCTTTGACCTAAAGATCAGATCCACAAGGCAGTGGAGCATCGTGAGGAGATGAAGTCCTATGGTAGCCAGTGACCAACGATTGATTCATACGCCATTTGTTCCTTCAGGATAATGGCGCCCATGTACACCATTGGTTTGCAACCAGTGTTTTACAACTTCCCTAGGTGGACCCTCACTGTCCAACGAGTCGGTTAAGGTGCCGACATTCGCTTTCCGTTCTCTTAATTTAGTAAACAACAGAAATGCCACGAGAAGAGAGTGATTAGGACTTCTCTGGCATAGGCTATATTCGCGTGGCCACGTGAGAGCATTTGGAGAGGGAGAGCAGACTCTCCCCACTCTCGGCCGTACCAGGGCATTTGGGGGTGACACAAATTCATTGAAACTATCAATCATGATACGTGAATTTCAACTGCTTATCCTAAAGGCATATTTTATGGTCATTGTGAGGATTTAAAATACTGAATAGGTTTCCTTGTCTGTAGTTTTCATCTCAGAAACAACAAATTAGTATTCTCTATAATTTCAAATGGCACTTTAAATATCTTCATATAATCCATTTCTTCAGCTTGTAGAAGTTTAATAATGTCAGTTACCGTACAAATGAGAAGCACACAGAAAAACTGCCTTTTTGCTTTATTACGAGACTCTATATTAGTGGTTACCCATGACTCAACCTCAGATCAAAACCATGACCTTTAAGTTTCAATGTGAGTGTCTAACCATTCTATCACTGGAACGCTTCCTAGAATCTAACCAAATTGTGATATAGCTGAAATTCTTGACAGGTGGAGTCCAAAATGATTTAGAGAGAAACAGTTGTCATCAATTACATAAGGTATAACCCACACCATATCATCAATTGACTAGATTTGGAGATGCGTACCGATAGATGGCAACCAGTCAGTCTAATCACTAACACATTACCAGTAACATTCACTTAGTATTGTTTGTTTGAATATTCCTATTGATGCTTAGGACTGCAACTGGTCAGTCTTTTACTGGCGTATTGCCTCCATATTGCTTTAATTTACAAGCACTATAAGGAAATATGAATAGTGGCTAGCAGTGGAATCCAGAGTTAACATCAACTCTGAGATGCCGGCACATCCAGCCGACGAGTCCCAAATAGGAAAAAACGTACATCCTGGATTCCACTGCTAGCCACTATCCATCTATTACCAGTAACAATTTATGATACTGAATTCGGTCACTGGCGAAGTTCTGGTTTGATGCTGTTCTGGAATTTCATACTGGGATGAAAGAGCTATCCTTTGTTCCATAATTTCCTAAAATACAACAACTAATGTCATCCAAAAACTTTTATTCACTCCTTTCAATAATGAAAGTCAATGATGAACAGAAGTAACAAAAGAAAACAATCAATTAATTCAGAGGGGGTTTTGTGGAGAATTTAGTATTTTCATAGTTGAAATCATGAATCAATTGAAGCTAGACCACCATCGAAAACATGGAAGCACTGGACGGCCGTTTCGTTCTATTGTGGAACTCCTCAGCAGTGTCCACCGACGATCCCACACTCGCGAGATTCGAACGCAGGACCTACCAGTCTTGCACCAGAGCCCTTAACCGATAGACCACTGATCCGGTTGGCATCCAACGGTGTTAATGTCTAACTTCAACTTCAATTAATTCATGATTTTTAAATAATAAAAAAATCAAAAATACTTACATTGTGGTCTCCATTGATTGGTACCAATTGAAGAATTAGCTTGTTTTGTATACAATGATAAATTTGTATAATCATAATCATTTATCTGTGTAGATAAGTTAGTTTCATTATCTGAAGTAATTTTCATTAATTTTGCATTATATTTTACAAATGGTTCATCTAAATGATGATTATTCATTATATTCTGATTAGTAGTATTTATAGATTTTCGATAATTTTTATTCTCTTCATGTTCATTATTATATTGATTTAATATATCATTAAAATGGGATTTACCTAAACGATGTGTTATATCAATATTATTTGATAAATTACTACTTAATTCCGAGTTATTATTATTATTATTTGCAAGAAAATTAGTTTTGTTTAAACTTGTTATTGAAGGGGTAGTGTTGACAGCCATTGTAACATTTGGTATCATGCTAGATCCAGTTATATTGTTATTGATAGAATGATGAACAGTAGTGTTGATATTATTATTATTATTATTTGTAGTAGAAGTATTAGTAGTAGTAGCTACAGAAGTAGTAGTAGTATTGAATGTAGAGCGTTTTCGCCTTTGTAATGAAATTAATTCTTTCAATTTACCATGGTTACTGTTATTATTGGATTGTTTATTTTGATGACCTGATAAACGAGACTTATACTTTAAATCATATTCATCAGTTATTGTAGATGATGTATAAGATCTATTGGAACGATGTAATTTGTTGTTAGTATTATTGTTGTTACTAATAACAGCAGTAGTGGTCGTCCCAGCAATATTGGTATGCTTATTTTCTCCACGATAATTTCCATCTATCCGATTGTATACATCTGTTGATAGGACCTCTGGTTTCATAGTGATCATAGCATTCATTGTTTGTGAATAGATATTCGTATCACATAGACTAATCGATGGTAGACGAAATAATCCTGATGTAGAAGTAGGTGAAGTAGTTTTATCTGGAAATTCTTTATGAATTCCATCTGTATTGTTAATATTATTATGTTTACTATTAAAATCAGATATAGTTGTTTTATAACCATTTTGTTCAACATTAAATGTACTCGGTAGAAAATCTTCAAATTTGTACTGTTGTTGTGTTTGTAACGATTGTTGCTGTTGCTGTTGGTGATGATGTTCATGATGATGAGGTCTTTGAAGAGAAAGAAGACCTTTAGTGTATTTTTTAGGCGATGACGACGTCATTCCCATAAATTTCGGCAATGATATAAAATCATTCTCTCTTGAGATAGAAATACTGTTATTAAGACGATGAGCTTTATTAGCTAACTCTAAAGCCATAGTTACATCTTGATTATCGGGAATCGATGATAACATGGCTGATGTAGATGACAGTGATCGTGTAGATGTTAACGAAGTGGACAAAGGTGATGTTGATGTATTAATGGCTGGAAAAGGATTAGTTTTAAGTGATGTTACTGGATAATTGATTGGGTGATTTATATTCATCCATGTCCATGGATCCAATTGTTGAAATGATCTTGAGACATCAGATCCACTCATCATACTACTATTTCCATTAAGAGTAGTATTGTTAAAGCTTTGTGGAAAAACCATATCTCTATAGGAAGAACTAATGTCTGATAATCCTTCATTATGTGTATATGGTAGAATGTTGCTAAACATATTGTTTGTAGGCTCTGTAGTCAATTTTAATTGAGAATCAGACGTAGGAATTGCATTCACATCATTCTGTACCACATTAACACTTGAAGATATGTAAAATGCATCTAATTGACTGGCATTATTATTATTACTATTAGTGTTAGTAGTAGTATTATATTGACTAGTTTGATTCGATGAAATCGGCAATAATCCATAATTCATAAATTCCTGCAATGTACTTGCATCTGGCGGTGACAATTGTTGGTGTTGTTGATCCTCCCGTTGTTGTGATTGTGGATCGTTTTGACGTGAAAGTGGATTGTGATGTAGAGGAGGAGGAAAAGGTGGATGTGGTAATGTTGCAGGTGACGGTAATAGAGCTGGTGGTGGAGGAGAAAAAGATGGAGATGTTTGTAGTTGATGATTGGTCAAACTATTATTAGCACTACTATTATTATTGATACGTGATTTCTCATATACATCTACAGTATTATTATTATTATTATTATTATTATTATTATTGAATGGAAACATCATTGACCAATTTGTTGGTTGTCGTGAATGGAATAGTTGCGTATCTGATATATTCATCTTTCTTTTTAAAATAGTGTTTCTATGGAAAGAAAAAAAAGGTGAAAATGATTAATTTTACAGCGTGATTTTCAAAAAATATCGCTAGAAACTCCTTGAAATGATGGATAAAGCCAATATGAAATAAAGTTAATTTCAGTTAAATGTTTAAATAGTAACTTCCTAGTACTGAGATATATCTTCTACTCTTCCAATTTCAAACACAAAACCAAAGAAGAAAAAAGTGTAAAACCATTTGCTTTATAGGTTCCATTATATACATGAAGTAACAGAATTTAGAGAATGTATGTGACCATTAAATTTTAGAGGCTTCTATAAAATAAATCATGAAATTGGTAATTGTCCAATCAAGACAATGGAAGCGTGATTCATTGATTTCTAGAATTAAATTGAACGTTTCTAAAGACTGCTAATTTTGTTGTTTTTTGCGGGGAACCCAAGGCCTCTGTATGATATATATATATATATATATATATATATATATATATATATATATATATATATATATATATATATATATATATATATATATATAATACTTAAGCCTGTTACTCCCAATGGAGAATAGGCCGCCGATCAGCATTCTCCAACCCAGTATGTCCTCCGCCTTCCTTTCTCGTTCTATCCAACTTTTGTTCATTCTTCTCATGTCTGTCTCCGCTTCTCGACGTAATGTGTTCTTTGGTCTTCCTCTTCTCCTTTGACTGTCAGGATTCCATTTGAGGGCTTGTCTTGTGACACAGTTGGGTGGCTTCCTCAAAGTGTGCCCAATCCACTTCCAGTGCTTCCTCCTGATTTCTTCCTCCACTGGATGGAATCTGGTTTGTTGTCTCCTACATTAGCTTGTTGCTGATAGAGTCTGGTCAAGGGATCCGAAGTATCTTGCGTAGACAATTTTTAATGAACACTGTATCTTGTGGATGATAGCTTTCGTAGTTCTCCAAGTTTCCGCCCCATACAGTAGAACTGTCTTGATATTCGTATTGAAAATTCAGATCTTGGTGTTGGTTGACAATTGTTTTGAGTTGCAGATGTTCTTCAGTTGTAAATATGCTGCTCTTACTTTGCCTATCGGCGCCCTCACATCTGCATCGGGTTCACCATGTTCATCAATGATGCTGCCCATATATGTAAAGATTTCCACATCCTCCAAAGCTTCTCCGTCAAGTGTAATTCGATTATATATATATATATATATATATATATATATATATATATATATATATAACTAGTAATTTCCATTGAAGAGTCATTAAAATCCATTTCTTCCTATTTAAGGACTTTCAAACAGAGGGCATCATATATTTGAGACTTTGATGGCATTAATCAGAACATTGAACAATAAAGAATATTATAGTTCACAATATAAGGCAAAAATTAGTAATATGGTATGATTTAACAATTAGGGACTACAGATATACACTGTAGGATATCTAATAATTTTTATTCAACTGCCTTCCGCCATACACTAAGTGTTTTCCAACTTGTTGATCAACTAACTGATCAATAACCAAGTTTAATGACTAGCAAAGCATTACATCTATTACTGTAGTGAACGAGGACAACTAAATGTATTTCAATACGATATTACAGGATATTTTGATAAAATCTGAGAACAATACAGTAAATATTTCATTTGCAAAATATCCATCAATTGTCTTAGACTTTGTTGTTCCTTCGTTTCCATACCATCAATTCACTGTTCTCATTCTCATTTCTTTTCTCAACCTTCTACCTTCATCCATTCCACTTTCGACTGATGATACTTACTACTTACACCACACTAATACTACTACTATTCAGTTTTCTGTTCGTTATGAGTAATCTAACTTCAATAAATCTAACATTCTATTCTACAATAATATATTGAACTAGTATTTGGATGGATCATTATTCCATTGCTTTTGATATGTAACTTTTAAAGCAACTGGCATCATTTATTTACAGATATCAATAAGATGAGATTAAAACTGTGATTGTTATGAGATCTATGAGACAAGTGTTGGGATTAACCTCAGTCAAAGTTATTATTATTGTTATATGTCAGGTTTGCAATTACAACATTGATTATTGTAATCATTTTCAGCTTCAAATGTCATTGTCATTGTCACATAATTGACACTGTAGTGCCGCGATTCGTTAATCGTTTACTTCGATAACCGTTATAATTCTAAACTTAACGGCGCGTAAAATCAGAAGACAAAGGATAGCAGCAACTACAGTTTATTGTCGAATAACTCAGGTTCGAAAGCTAACATCACCTGAGCGAATATGAACGAGCGAGTGAGCGGCAAGCGAGAGAGCGAGTGAACAGGCGAACAAGCAAAAGAAACGAACGAGGAGCAAGCGAGCGAATAGCAAGCAATTACATAGGCAATTTATAGTCAAATTTAATAAGGGCACAGCAAAGCAAAGCAAAGGCTGATAATAATATTTGCGTGCGTACATATATGGGGAGGAGTATGAGTCATCGAATGATATTTAAGTAGTCAACATTTAGTGGCATAGCAGTGCAAAGAATATGCAAATTGTTACTATCCAAATAACGATGTCTGTTAAGTAAGTTATAAAAAAGGGCTTAACCAAAATTGGCTATAATCGAAATTGATTGTAGGATGGTTGCTATAACACATATTTCCACTGGCTACTATGATATGGCTTCTATGATATTTACTTAATTAAGTTTTCTCCAAACTTAGAAACTCTCTAACGAAGTCCTGTCCTATCTGTTTTTACTCGAATGAAGTTGTCATTGTTGAAGTATCGTCGTGTATTAACAATTTGGTCTATCTAACCCCGTTATGTTCTCATATGTATCAGAAATATTGTCCATTTCTCAGAATCCCAATTTTGAATCCATATGTAAATGTTAAACCTAAACTGAGAATATGAAAATTTTAGAAGTCAGGGTAGCAAAGCATAAAAACGTCCACTCTATAATAGCTATGCTCATAAATTTTCTGACTTGACAAAAAGAAATCATGTAAAAAGGATTTCGGTATTCAAATCTAATCAGATAATTTGAAAGTATTTGATTTAAATGATGTATGGAAGTAATACATTTACAGACCGGTAGATCGATTGATTCACTTTTAACAACTGATCTAATAACAGTTACGTGCATTACATGCATAAAATGACAGCTGCTTTTTCCTTATTTCTTGTTGCTGTGTATTGTGTATCTACGATACCTCTACACAGAATTGAATCCATTACACTAGTTGATGTTAAACAGTTCATATCTACTAATTTAGTGAACGATCATCATGTAACAAGGCAATTTCAACTTGATTGAATATATAATTCAGAATGGAAACGTATCAAAACGTTGTTTGATTTTCAGTGGTTTATCACACAACGTCAGTTCGTGATGAAATGTATGTTCACTAAGACAACTGTTTATATTCTGTGGCAGGTGTTATGTTGAACAATGACTTAATCTACTCGATTGCAATTGAAATATGAAAATAATAGTCTGTGACGCTTTTAGGAGGGATAGCTATATGACCTAGTCAAGCAGTTATACCCGTTGGTTATAAATACTTAACTGTATGATATGGTAAATATCTGCTCATATCGTAGGTTCTGAATTTATTGATGTTAAATACTACTAAGTTCAATTTATATTAATCTGACTGTAAGTAAATCATATGATAAGTAGTGTATTCATATATATAGTTTTGATTTATTTCCAGTGCCAAGTAAATCCAAATCAATAATCATTGTGCTTCACATTACACGTCGTCGGATTCAGGGTTACAGTTCTAAGCACAAATCATATAACCATACCACAGACATACTATGACAAATATAACAACAAAACTTTAATCCTGGAAAACAAAGTTATCAATATATTCATAATAAAGCATCTTCTAACCGATATCCTAACTTAAATATTAAACATTGATATTGAATTGTCGAGTCATAAATATTTACACGATACTTATTTTGCTGACCTACAGTTTCTAAATAATCAAACTACTTATAAATTGTAGTAGTAGTGCTATACAAATGAACTAAGTTTTCAAATGGACATGTTTCAAATAATGCTGTTTATATGGGTGTATAGTTAATTTTGAGCAACACACAGTTAAATGTAAAAGTTAATCTTAGTACTCTATTGGTCAGATCAACCACGCTAAGATAAAACTCAAAATAATTAATCCATGAATCAATAATGGAGAGTTACATCAATTGAACTACTACTTTAATCTAAAAGGCACAAATAAACTCCAACTATTAATTGTCTGCTTAGTCGACATTAAAACTTGTTGAATTCTAGAGAAAATTAAATCTTGTAAACTCGCATAATATACGTTTTTAGTTGTATTCAGCTTTTAAGATTTTTCCCAAGCACTGGATAACCGTTTCGTCCTATTATGGGACTACTCAGCGGCGCGCATCCACGATCCCACACTCGCTAGTGGGATTCGAACCCAGGACCTACCAGTCTCGCGCCAGAGCATTTAACCGATGGACCACTGAGCTGGCCGACATCCAACGGTGTTAATGTCTAACTTCAACCAATCCACGAAATTTGAGCAACCGTTCACCAATTGTCTTCAGTGAGTTGTTATCTTATTTATCTACTACCATGCATATAAATGAAAAAAGCTGTCATCTACATACATACTTATATACACACCAATATGCACTATATATATATATCAGTGTTAACTATCTATCAATCGTTAATAACACTTATAAATGAACAAATATATATAGATCTATATACATATATAATTATAGTAACTTACGTTATCCGTTTATTTCCGATTGTTTCACTTGATTTTTCAAAAAAATTATTTACTACTAATTATAGTAGTACATATTGATGATAAAGAAAGTAAAGCGTTGAAGCGGAAATCGTCAAAGATATCAGTGGTTGTCGTTGTTTTTGTTGTTGTTGTCGTTGTCGTTATTGTAATTATACAATATCCGAAAAAAAAATTAAGAAAAAATATAAAAAAAGAAATTGTAAGTGAACATAATTTTTACATACGTACATAATAATAAATAAATAATAGATGCAAACTTTTATTACTATTGTGTATATGTGGTTTGTATATTACATTTACACATATTGTATTATTATTATTATATGTAGTGGTAGTAGTAGTAATAGTAATAGTCAGATGTAATCTTGTTTATTTCATTCGGTGACCGGATATAGATCGTTACAATATATTAATCAAATCGGGCGGAACGAATCCTAGTTGTATTCGTGTAGTCGTAATAGTAGTAGTACAATAAAACATAAATATAAATCCGGATCTTTTGAGGTATGAATGAGTAAAAAGGAAAAGTTATAATTATTCCATATATATTTTTATATATTCTCTTAGATAGATAGATAGATAGATACAGTTTTTTCCTGTTAAAAGAAAAAATAAAAGTAGAACGGAACAGGAATCCAAGTCTAGACGGTGCTTCATTGAATATTATTGAAGTGAAGTTTTAACACAAATTTCCTTCCGTTAGTTAACATTAATTTGAAAACATTTTTCGTTCAATACACACATATACTAATAATAATCATAGTAATATTATAATAATAAGCACTCTATATTATTATTATTATTATTACCTTCAGAAAGATCAAGAATCTGTTCTGTATGCACAATCTATCAACTTCCTTCCGTCCAACAAAGACAGTTAATTTTCTAACATATAATATTATAAGCTTATGTGATTACAGAAGTGGAACTTTCTGTTTCCGCCCTAATCATCTAAGTGCGATTGGATAAAATGCATGAATACTTATAAACTTTTTAGTCTACCAGAAATAATGTGAATAAATCTATCCTTAGTGAATATATTCCTATCTCTATTCCTTATACACACATACATATCACTATTTTATGAATACAAACAGACACACACATACGCACATCAAAGACTATATTTCCCTTTAGATAAAATAATCTCTTTAGGGAAAAAATATGATTAAAATTCGCATTGATTCTGATTTTCTTTTTTTCTTTTCTTATTTATCATAATTTAATAGAAACTATGGTAACTCCCCTTTCTCATAGGTTACCATAGAAGAAATTCAATTTATTCATCTATTGGTTAATCAACTAACTAATATTACTTAAAAATTCATATCACTTCCGTTCTTTTATTTTGTATCCAATCTATACCTAATGCCTAATTCATTTTAACCAATCAAATAAAAGGGATTTTTAGAATTTACACCCCAATATCTCTCACCTTTTAATAGAAAAATTGATTAAAATTATGTTTTTGCTTGTTTTTCAGGGAAAAAAAAAAGAAAAATGAGTTTTATAAAGAAAAGAAAGGAAAGTCTGCTTATAACCAATACGAAAAGGAAAGTGAATTTCTTTTTTTTTTTAAATTTTTATTCTAAAAATTCTACTAACAGATTTAGTTAGTATACATTTGACAGTTTTACTCTCTTTCTTTAATACATTCATATACATTGGTAGTTGTTATCTATTTACAAGTTGTAATATATACGTAGTGAATTTAATCAATGATGGTATTATTGATTTTTTTTGTAGGGGGGGGAAGGGTAAGAGATTGTTTTATATAGTATTCACTGTATATAAATGCTAGGTAGTGGTATAATCAGTTTATAGACTATTTTTGATTCATCCATTCATCCATCCATCCATTCATTCATTCATAATATGTAGTTCAATAGACTATAAGAGAAGAAATGATTTTCTCGTGATTCTGTTTACTTAAGAGGTAGATTAACAAAAGGCTCCATAAGAAACTAATACTTATTATTATTATTATTGTTATTATTATTATTATTATTAATGATCTGTCGTTTTATTAAAGTAGTCCTGTTTTTAAATTATGATTATTCTCTTATGTTTGTTTAAATAAAACAAAGAATTATTGGGAAATTTGTCAAATTTAGATATCAGTCAGTCAGTCAGTCACAACGTAGAACTTCGTACGTACGTATGTACATCAGTTCGAGTTGCCATACCACATTAGCACAGAGATGAAGTTGTTGATTCAAATCCCATAGTGGTAGAAGTAGTAAGAGTTTAAGCAGTAATGTGAAAGATTAGGGTTTGAAGATGTTATTGAAGGAGTATAATCCAGTGAAATAAATTTGAAAAGAAAAAAAAGAAAAGGACATGAAGAATTCAGACTATAATTTTGGAGAGCACAAACAGTGGATACACCTTGGCCATTGCAAACGATTTTGAACCATGTCATTCAAGGTCTCTAACCATCGATTGCTATCATCTCGCAGATCCCAACCAGGTTGTCTACACCTATATATACCAATTGAATCCTAACTAAGTAGTTTAAAGTTAAAGTGCTCATTGAGATACCTGTAACTTTTGAGTTTGAATTGTAGGTGAGTACAGAATAAGAGTTTCACATTATAATGAAACACTTATCTCCAGTTTCTAGCAATGCTTCAACCACTTTCGATTCATAATAAAAATTGCCTGGAAAAGATTAATGTAATAATTTCAAACTTATAAACATTAAATTAATTGATCTTGATTCCTTTCTCTAGATCAGCTTATGAAAATAACGTAATCAACTGAAATATTTTCATAAAGAAAAGCCATAAATTGGAAGAGAGTGAAGATTTCCTAAGGAAGGAAACATTTATAGATGTCAATCGCATTGTATCTATGGTTTAATGACAAGTAAGCAATTTATATTTTATGAAATCAGTTGTATAATAATAATGATATTATTAGTAATAATATTGATAATATTTTCATAGTTGAAAGCGTGGGTCGATTGAAGCTAGACCACCATGGAAAACTTCGAAACACTGGACGGCCGTTTCGCTCTATTGTAGGACTCCTCAGCAGTGCGCATCCATGACCTCGCCTTGTGAGATTCCAACCTAGGACCTACCAGTCTCGAGCCAGGGCTATTAACCGATAGACCACTGAGCTGGCCGGCATCCAACGGTGTTAATGTCTAACTTCAACCAATCCACGAAGTTTGAGCAACCGTCCACCAATTGTTTTCAGTGAGTTGATATCTCACGACAGACGTGGTTTGAACTCCACTGGTCACTGCTTTTCACTAGAACTCCTGGATGTAATTCTCGAATTCACTAGTGAGCATATTATTATTATTATTATTATTATTATTATTATCTGAAGGGGTTTTGTGGAGATTTAGCATTTTCATAGTTGAAAGCGTAAGTCTATTGAAGCTAGACTACCATGGAAAACCTGGAAGCACTGGACCAGGTTTACCATGGTGGTCTAGCTTCAACTGACTCACGCTTTCAACAATGAAAATGCTAAATCTCCACAAAACCCCTTCTGATAAATAATAACAATACTCGATTCATTTAATGCTGTGCATTTGAATGTAATAGGGTACTATCAGAGTAAGATATGCAACAATGTTCCCTTAAACAATGATTTTTTTGAAAGTGATATTCAACAGCAACTGTTTACAATCAGTCTTGTTACTACGATACATCTTTTTATCGTATAGTACATTTGAGTAGTTAAGTATACTATGATGATTATTTCTCTAAAGAACAAACGGAAAGGAAAATACATGCCAACCACGTGAATTGTGTGATATCTTCACATATTCTTTTGATGAACTTACTTTAATATATTAAAACAAATGACGTTGAAGATAGCGAGTATTATTATTACTATTATTATTATTACCATTGTTGCCATTACTGCTAATGTTTAGTCTATTTTGCACAACCATTTTTTAATTGTACATTGTAGTTATCCAAAATTCCTCACAATAATCAGCCACTATGAAATAAAAAATTGATATCAGGGGACTATAGTTTTGAACGGGTAAAACTGTTATGGATCTAATAATGACTTGTACAAATCTCGGTAGGAATAAGCTTTTGAACTGTAAATTAGAAAAGATCAGTATTAGTGTATATTCTATGTCGATAATGAGACAGTCAACTTGAAAACTTGCTTAAATTCAGTTTTTAGATAGTCGACACACATTAGTAAAGTACATCTGTAAACTTTATAAAGCCTGTAGGATTTGAACTTAAATTAATCGTTTTCACAGGCTAACACACCATCACTAAGATATTCAGAATTCGGTTGGCTTTGTGCACAGCTGAGATAGTAAGCAGTAAGTGTTCATTGAGTTGAGACCATTGTCGTTTTCGTTCGATCTTTTAGTGTTGATAAGGTTCTACAAAAAACTAATGACTAATAGCCATGATTTGTAGTTAAATGTCGGAAGTTATTTTTATGAACTATTGAAGTCTAATACAAAATTAAAGTCATATTGTATTCATAGTAAGAATTTTAGTTTGTAGTTCTGATTTCATAGTGACTAGTATGTAAACATTTATGCAAAGTTTAAATCTATGATTAGACAGCTAATTGAAGGTTTTTAATTTTGCAGCTGATATTATTTTGCGTTAAAAAAAATCTCTTTAAGTAGAAACAAGATGTCACACGATACAGACTGAATATAGTTAGACAATCACTGAAGACAAAGAAGAAATGGATAGCTATTTCGTCCTAGAAATTTACTATCTAGTAGTGAGATGGTGGAGAAGATTTGTAGCTCAGGTGGGTGATTTTTATGTTGGTTTGTTCTCTGAGCTGGATGGTTTGGTCGTGGAGCTTTCATCGTCCTTCTGAACGACATCATCAACATTAACTTCGGGTAGAAGTGAAGTGTTTGAATTTCTCCACATGTGATTCACAGCTTGTCCTCTGCACCTCGATGTTGATTGGTTCTTATTGACCTTAAATCTGTCATTGTTCGACTGGGAGAATGTGCAGATTTTGGACAGAGGCAATTCCAAAAATACCAGAGAATTTTTAGAAGCTTGGCACTCAGGTCAATCAGCAATAAACAAACATATTGAAATCAATCCAATCTATCAACCAATCAAGAAAATTATGCAGGAACATAGGAACAAAAATCAAAACAATAGGAGAGACAATCAAAACAAAGAAATAAACAATGATTTAAGGTCAACAAGAACCAATCAACATCGAGGTGCAGAGGACAAGCTGTGAATCAAATGTGGAGAAATTCAAACACTTCACTTCTACCCGAAGTTAATGTTGATGATGTCGTTCAGAAGGACGATGAAAGCTCCACGACCAAACCATCCAGCTCAGAGAACAAACCAACATAAAATAAACTATCTAGTAGTATTCATCAATAAATTAACCACAAGTTGAACCCAAGATATCTAGGTCTTGTGAAGAGCGATTAACCTTCAGGCCAATGAGTTACAATCCACTGGTTCGTATTCTTAAGTTTAGTCAATTAGTTATATTAGGCGACCACTGTTGATTTTCACTGATGATATCTGTTCGATGTACGACTTATTTGAACAACACTGAACATGGTTTTTCACGATAACTCAGGAAATGACTACGGTAGAGAAGTCAAGAAGCTAGGAACCAATCAAATAGAATTAAAAATACAAACTTTTGAATATCAACTAAATATTCCAAGGGTTAACTGTTCATCAAAAAGGTAAACGATCGTAGTCGTGAGTGCATATAGTTGATGAGCTCTATACTAGGTGGAAACAGCTGTCTAGTGTTTAGTCTTCTTCAATAGTTCCCTGACTAAGTTCTATTCGTATTTTGAAATTTCCAATTAGAAACTCTTCACAATAGTCTATAACCAATAGAAAATGAAGATCTGGGAATGTTGTAAACTTTATGACTAAATGTAAATTTTAAAAGAGATGATCCTCGCAATATACACAGTTAATTCATACTTTCCTGGTCACATTTATATTCAGTGTATAATGACTATAATGATAGTTTCAA